TGTTTGTGAAATAAATTTAAATTATGTTCTAAGTATAAGATCTATCCCTGATCCTTAGTATTAATGAGATGGAGGTGCCTTTCATATTACACTATCTTTTCTGTTTTAACCTGTGTCTGCTGGGCTTGAGCCAAGCCATATAAACAGGGTGGGTCATAATGGAATCTTTGGGGAAGGAGTGAAGGGAAAATGTTGTGGATATGTAGTTTTTATGTTAAATTTGGGAAAGAGGAGAAACTGGTGTTTTCATCATAAAACTATAAAAATAAAACTTGACTAAATCTTGAATGATTGGTCTATATAGAAGATAAACTTGTCAGAATCTCGGAGGCAAATAGAATAGATTTTAATATTCAGCAAAAGAGGGCATGCCTGGATTTCAAAAGTTTGAGGAGCATGTCCTGAAATGTTTTCCTAAAACTACCCTCTTGGCGCTTTAGGAAATTTATCAAAGGCCCTAAAATTATGCAATTCTATTTTAGCAAATACTTCTAAGTGAATTATCAAAATGCCCATATATTTATGTACAGAGATATTTACCTCAGATTTATTAGTAATTGTGAAAATTTAGGAGAAAATCTATGTCCACAAAAGGGAAGTAAGTGAATAAATTATAAACCTCTGTCCAAGAAAATTCTAAGCAATTAAAAGTCATATTTTGGAAAAATATTTAATGCCATAGTAAAATGCTCAAGGTGAAAATAAAGTATAAAGTGGTAATAATTCAATATTTAAAGGAAAGAAGGCACTATTATACATAGAAAAAAATGGAATTAGTGTAGCTACTTTAGAGAGCAATTTGGCAGTGCCTCTAAAGTTTAAATGTGCAGACCCTACAACCCAACATTAATATGACTGATATACCAATAGATGAATAATTGTAAAGTCATATGTTAGAATACCATTCAAATGTTTAAAATTAACAAATTGGATCTATATATCTGCAACAGAGATAGCTCTATGTATCTCAACAGAGATAGCACTCAAAGCAATGTTGAATTTTAAAAAGCAAGTTGCAGAATGATATATATGTATAATAGTATTTATGTAAAAACTTTAAAATACATATAACAAAACCAAATATTGTTTACATATATACATAAGGAATAAACATATAAAAACATAGCCTCGGGCTTCCCTGGTGGCGCAGTTGTTAAGAATCCGCCTGTTAATGTAGGGGACACGGGTTCGAGCCCTGGCCCGGGAAGATCCCACATGCCACGGAGCAACTAAGCCCATGCGCCACAACTACTGAGCCTGCACTCTAGAGCCCACGAGCCACACCTACTGAGCCTGCATGCTGCAACTACTAAAGCCCGCATGCCTAGAGCCCGTGCTCCGCAACAAGAGAAGCCACCACAATGAGAAGCGCACACACCACAAGGAAGAGTAGCCCCCACTCGCCGCAACTAGAGAAAGCCCGCACGTGGTACCGGAGACCCAACGCAGCCAAAAATAAATAAATAAATAAATTTATTTTAAAAAAAAAAACATAGCCTGGAAAGATACAGACCAAAAAAAGGATGTTAGTTGCCTTTAAGCCAGAGGGGAGGTGAATGGGATGAAAAAGAGAAATTGGATGGGGGTGAGGGGTAGTATTTAACTTCATCTGTAATATTTTTAAAGTGTTTTGTTTTTTTAAATAAGCAAAAGTGACAAAATGCTTACATTGTGAATTTGGAGTAGTGGTTCATTGTTTATTAGATTAAATTCTTTTTTTTAATGTGTGCTTTTAGAAATTTCCAAAAACAATGACTGAAAGAAAGTCATCCATGTTTGCAGTGGTTATGATTCAACAGTGAGATTACAGTTCAATTTTAGTTTTCATCTCAAACATCTCTGAATTTTCCAAATTTACAAAATGAATGTTGAGGAAATCAATGCCTCTTAGAGATAAATAGATGATAACTATATAGTTACTGGACCTCAGCTGCGTGAGGGGTTCCTAAGGCCCTTACAACTGAGCTGCCTCTAGAATGGTGAAGTATCAGCCAAAAAAAGGATGACCCTCCCAGAAACAAAAGGAAGTAGCAGGCTGGCTGCCTGCATGGTGTAGAAATGTAAAACCGGTCATGTCCAGGGATGGAAAGCAGGGGCATTAGTCTAAGCCAGTGGGTCTCAAGCTTGAGCATGCATTAGAATCACCTAGAGGGCTTGTTAAAAAACAGACTGCCCCCAGAGTTTCTAATTTAGAAAGTATGGGGTCAGTCCTGTGAACTGTATTTGTGACATGTTCCCAGATGTTAGTAACAATAATGATGCTTGTCGCAGGACCATGCTTTGAGAACCGCTGGTCTAAGCAAAACCCAGCCGTCAGATATTTGTATTTTTGATTATTGAAATATGAGGGAGACATTTGGCAGAAATGAATCCAATGTTATTATCTGGCAGATATACAAATTACTTAATGGAGTGAGCCAGTCAGTCTTGGGGAAGTTGGAGTCACACGCAAGAGCAGGCAGACAAAAAAAAAAAAAGAAAGAAATAGGCATCAAAAAGAAAGCTTGAAAGTGAGGAAGATGAGAGGTGGTCCAATCTAAAGACCACGGAAGAGGTTTCTTTAGGAAAAAGAAAGGTAGTAAAATGAGCATGAAAAAGGACTGTAAAAAAAAAGTTTCACTCATCGGGGTCTGTTGCTATTTGGCCAAACTGGGAGTCCAGGATCACACAAAATTCTTATCTCTGTCACATCTTTCACTAGCACCAGGAACTCCACAAGGCTGGAAACTTCTTGAGGACAGGAACTGTCCCTTCCTTGCTCTCTCCATCCTTTCTCGTCCCACTCCCTGCCTCTTTCCTTTCTATTCTACCCCACTCAGCAGCTTTTTTTTTTTTTTTTTTGCCACACCACCTGCAGGATCTTACTTCCCTGACCAGGGTTCAAACTCTCACCCCCTGCAGTGGAAGTGCAGAGTCTTAACCACTGGACTGCTGGGGAAGTCCCTCAGCACCTCTTTAGTGCCAAACACAAACATTTCCTGGGGCTTTGGATAAACTGGTGTCTTACCGTCTTTGTAATCCAGCACATAGCATAGTGCCTCGTACATTATAGCCACTCATTAACTGTTAAATGAAACATGAATAAAACACATATGTGATCAGCAGGGGTCGGTGAATGGGAGACAGAAATAGGAAGCTGTGCCTGCAAGCAGGTCATTTCTTTGAGAGGCATAGACCCAGTGGAGTGGGCCCAGAAATGCAAATTAGCACCTTGAGTCACCACTGAGAATGTACTACTTGGCACTATCCTTTACACCCCACATTTTTCCCTATAAATTTTTGCTGGTTTTCCCATTGCCTGCCAGTGTTTCCCACACCCATCCCCATGGTTCCTGACTTTCAGCTATATTAGTATTTTAGTATATTGTATATACTATTGTATACAATATTGTATACAATATACTATTGTATATTAGTATATTGCTTCATTACAACACCTTTAATCTGCCTCAGAGCCAAGGCTGCAATAAGGTGTATGCCTGAATCATGATGCCTTTTACTATAAAGCATTCTCCTGCTTTCCCAATGAAGAGATCTAAAAATAGATTTGGGACCAACTTAAATATGTAGACTTTTAAGAATGTAGATTGAGTAGTTTTGTGTATACTTACACTATGTGTTGATTGAGTTATACATGCACGTGTATTTAAAACAATCTAAAATATTAATTTTTATTTAAATTTTTTAAAGTTTTACTATTATGATATGAATCTTAAGTCATTTAACAAAGTTTTTGAGGGACTTCCCTGGCAGTCCAGTGGTTAAGACTTCTTGCTCCCAATGCAGGGGATGTGGGTTCAATCCCTGGTCGGGGAACTAAGATCCTACATGCCACATGGCCAAAAAAAAATAAAAAAAAGAAAAAGTGATTGGATTAACACACAACTTTCTAATTGTCAGGTTATAAGAGGTGATAAATATGTTTTTATTGTCAGTTAGAAGGAGGTTGTGCGTAAATATGTTTTTATTGTCAGTTAGAAGGAGGTTCTGTGTGTATATGTGTAATGCCATAATTATGGGTCTATCTCTATCTTGCAATTAGAAAGTTGCAAGAGCAAGCAAATTGTTTTAACTGGAGTAAGTGGATCAAGTTGGAAGAAGAAAACACGTTGAGTTTGACATGTGATTTTGACAGCAGAGGACATAAGAGTGGTTTAGTACACTTACCAGTTTATTCTATTTTTAAAAGTGTACAGCTTAGAACAGTATTGAGGTTCCTTAAAAAACCAAAAGTGGAACTACCATATGATCCAGCAATCCCATTACTGGGCATATACCCTGAGAAAACCATAATTCAAAAAGAGACATGTACCACAATGTTAATTGCAGCACTATTTACAATAACCAAGACATAGAAGCAACCTAAGTGTCCATCGACAGATGAATGAGTAAAGAAGATGTGGCACGTATATACAATGGAATATTACTCAGCCATAAAAAGAAACAAAATTGAACTATTTGTAGTGAGGTGGATGGACCTAGAGCCTGTCATACAGAGTGAACTAAGTCAGAAAGAAAAAAACAAATACCGTATGCTAACACATATATATGGAATCTAAAAACAAACAAACAAAAATGGTTCTTACGAACCTAGGGACAGGACAGAAATAAAGATGCAGACATAGAGAATGGACTTGAGGACACGGGGAGGGGAAGGGAAAGCTGGGATGAAGTGAGAGAGTAGCATTGACATATATACACTACCAAATGTAAAATAGCTAGCTAGTGGGAAGAAGCCACATAGCAGAGGGAGATCAGCTCGGTGCTTTGTGACCACCTAGAGGGGTGGGATAGGGAGAGTGGGAGGGAGACGCAAGAGGGAGGGGATGTGGGAATGTATGTATACTTATAGCTGGTTCACTTTGTTATACAGCAGAAACTAACACAACATTGTAAAGCAATTATATTCCAATAAAGATGTTAAAAAACAGAAAAACAGTGTGCAGCTTCTCAGTTTTTCATTATTAAATGTAGTGTTTACATATTTACATATGTTTCAGGCTACATTATTGGAATTTTGAAGACATGAAAACATCAGATGAACCAACCTGCAACATCTTGGATCCAGATTGGAAGATGAAGAGAAAGTTTAAAGAATGTGGTCTATAAAGGCGGGTAGTACCTGGAAATATTAACTGACTCACACTGTAAAAATGAGAACAGTTTCTAAACAATAGAGGTTATTTTAGTCCAACATCAAGGTTCAAGACAAAATGTTGAACTAAAAACTTACACTCCTCCCCTCCCCCACTTCAGACAGGTACCAGCATTGGTGAATATGATTTTCCTTAGTCAGAAGCACTCGTTTTTACCTATGTAGACCATCCTTAGGAATTAAATATTGATTATTTAATGTAGATTATAATGGGAAACTGATTTTTTCTACAATGGCAGATTTCAAGGACTTGGTTCCAAACTGAGCCGAAGCTTCCCAATGCATTTTGTACAGTCTGGGGAAAACTGTGCTGCGTTGGCCATTTTTGAAGGCCATGATGCCCTGTAATATAAGGATATCATCTTATTGCTGATATCTTTGGGGAGTCCCAAGCAGACACAGAAAATGAATGGAGGCAAGGAGTGTGACGGAGGGGACAAGGATGGAGGTCTTCCAGCTATACAAGTTCCTGTGGGTTGGCAGCGACGTGTGGATCAAAATGGAGTGCTTTATGTCAGGTGAGCCCTTATTATTACCTGTGCTACCTCCAAGTTTGTGGTCCCCAGCTGAAGGAGGTACAGTCTGTTCCTCTGAGAGTGTAAATATTGTAACTGACAGCACCTGAACTTAATTTGAATAAATGATCTTCGTGCTGGAAATATTTAAGTGTTTTTATTCTGTACTGTTTTGTGATGTAAATTGCCTTAGGTTACAAGAGAGGATTTTTATGCATTATTTGTGTTTATATAAAGTGTCATCCTGCTTATCTCTCTAACAAGGATAAAGAAAAATAGGAAGATTTCTAAAAGAAACTCATGAGCATCATTACTACATTCACAGGAGAATGTAAAATACTGAAAACAGACCTGATGTCTCCTCACACTATTATTGTGTCCTTCATAGTGCGTCAGCTGGCTATTCTGATGTAAGGTTAAGTGTTTTTATCTATAGGCAGTTTCAATTATTAGTTTCTTAATGCCTGATATTAACTAAAAATAATTTCCCTATTTTTTCTGTGCAGTTTTTAATCTATTCCCTGCATATAATAGTAAAAGAAAAAGTCATGATGGAGTCATCTCACAAGTAAAAATCATACAAATTACATATAAATGCCTGCTCTTTTAAATTTTGACAGCCTTTATTATGTTGAACAACTTGAATGAAGTAACTGAACTGTTGGCAAGAAGTTTTAGTCTTATTATTAAACAATTGGCACCTAAGTTCCTTACTTTGTAGTTTATCAGTAAGTATATGATTAGAATACCATAAATCTTTCTTTGTGATGTAGTAAGAAAACCTATTACAAAGAGAACTTTTTAAAAAATATCACATTGCATCATTACATTAATTTTGTTACTTTCATTGTGGTTATTTGTATCTCAGCTTCAACGGAATTCTCATTTGTGCAAAGATGTATTTATATAAATGAAGAATTTTCCATTATATAAACCCAAATGATTTCATACTATAACAACTCTACTGTCAGTTCAGATTCTGTCCTGGGTTGGTTGGTTGGCTGGTTGGTTGTTTGGTTTGTTTTGTGGAAGGTATTTCTTGAGGTAAACTTAATGACCAATTGAAATTCTTTTGCACACGTGTTTTTTGTTTCTGTAATATTCAAGCTATGCTCTATATTAATTGAGGTGAAGGGATAAGAAAGCAGGGAATGTGGAGCTCACCCCATGGTAGCTTAGATGGATGAGGACACACGGAATAACTTTCTCAAAGTGTTTCTATTGTCAGTGCTGTTAACAAACTGCCAGAAATACTTTGTTACCAATGTATCAATAATATAGCAAGATATCAGTGTTATGTTCATAGTTACGGTTTTCCTAGTCTGTAAGGAGCAAATATATATTCAGCTTAGAGCAAATAACTCCAAAAATCTTGATAATTTAGTTTGGGGGGGATTTTGTTTGTTTTGTTTTTGTTTTACTTCATCTTTATCCCTACGAAAGATAAATCAGCTTTTCAGGTTGCTGAGAGTTAGGTTAAAGCAAATTAAGTCTGGGAATCTGTCAGTTATCTTGCTCCTGACTTTTCCAAGTCTGAGTAGACTTTACTATCTGTTAGTATGAGTTTGAATTCTCCCAATCCAAATCTGTACACTAAAGATTATTTTGGAAACTAACTTTGCCAGATAAAGTAAGACACCTTCAAATAAATTCAGCCAGCATGGGTTTGATTTCTTTGTATATAACTGGTTAAACTACTACTTGAACATGTAGAAGAGGCTAGCCCTCCTTCTATAGCTTCCTTCGCAATGTGCAGTTTGCTTATAAGTTTTAGGTTAGTCTCCAGCTGCTCCTGCCTCAGGGTGGCATTGAGGCTGCACATTAAATTTCCCACCTGCTTCCAATCTTTTAAGCTTTATCTATGCCATAAGACTTGTAACTATTTTTATGTTAATTATTACTCCCAAAAGTTAATTAAAGAGCTTCACCTAAAGGAAAGAACCCAACTGACTGATTGAGAGGAAGTGTTTTTAAAGTGTCTAGAGTAGAGTACTCATAGAATTCAGGAATTCTTGTCTTCAAGTTTAATTTTACAATTAACTGCCTCTAGGATTCATTCATACACTTTTTTTAACTGTAACACATTAGGCAGTTTCTTTTCATAAAATTCATGAATTCTTCACATAACTAGTGATTTTGTTTTATCAAAATTACCAGACCTCCAAAAACATCTTGCTGCCCCTACCGCTAGGGTGGGACTCCAGTCTGTAATATGGGAATTATTATTCTTTGCATATCATCTGAAAAAAATTGTTAGCCCAAATAAATGAGAGAGTTAACAAAGTTGAGGATTTTAATTGTGATTTTCTACATGTGTTAAGTCACTTACATGATTGTCCATAAGTAAAATACGAATTGCATTTTAAAGCTGGTTTATTTATAGACACCAAACTACTACCTGTGTTTTTGTAGAAGCAGAATAGTCTACCCGCGGTAATGTAAAGCTTTGTTTATGAAATGGAGATATCGTTTCTGGTTAAACTTTATCAGATGGCTTAAGTGAAAGTTTTGGTAAATAGTCATAAATAAAAGATATTCTTGAATAAAAAGTATATAATAGTTTTCAAGACATAATATGCATGCAAGCTGTAAAATCAGTACATTAATAATAGAAGTCCTAAAATGCAAATTGCCCATTTTAAACTAATCCTCATTGTAAACAAACGTTAGAGACTTATCCTGTCATCAGGATTAGTACCTAATCTGTAGACTTAAATTTGATCAGTATTCATATATCATACTAACTTCTGTGACCCAAAGAGTAGTAACGTTGAGAGCACTATCCAATCACCAGCCGCAAGGCCTGCAAGGCACCTTTCTGCCCCCTAAAACCCTATCTCCTCAAGAGTTCCCCATCCTTATAAGTACGGCTTGGATCTTCAGTAGAATTTGAGCTGGGTCACACTGATCTATCTTCAAAGAAACACATGAATGAGGGAGGAAAAAGAGAAGCCTGTTTTTACACAGGGGCAGCTTGGTTCTAGACTCCAAGATTAAAGGGAAGAACTTGTTAGCTCGAATTTTTGTAAATTTAGTGACTTTCTGGTTTGACCTCCAACGTGTTCCTAAATTTCAGTTTTTCCTCAAACAGCTTTAGAAGTAGATCTTCTAATTTAAAATGATAATGATTACTTTCATATAGTTTTCTTGTTCCTTTCTTACCTGCTCTTTCTTAAGAATACATTTTTCCCATCCTTAGTCCACTCTTGGTTGTCAAAATACTTTTATTTATTTTTCTATGAAGATCTGTATTTTTCTGAGAAATATTTTGGTCAGAAGAAAGGGTGATAGTGTTAAAGGCTATAATTTAGTAGCTAACATAATACTGACAAAGAAAATGCTTTTCCTTAGTAGGAAAATATTTCATAGGAAAAAACCCTGTGAAGGACAGTAAGACTATAAATTATGCCGTTTTTCATATAATATGTGCAGTCAGAATTATTTCCTGATGTTTTTTTAAACTATTTTCACAGTCCCAGTGGGTCTTTGTTATCTTGCTTGGAGCAGGTTAAAACATACCTGCTTACTGACGGAACATGCAAGTGTGGCTTGGAATGTCCTCTTATTCTTCCCAAGGTAACCATTTCGCAATAGATGTATCAGCAATTTTTCATTTTTTAGGTGTTTCATATATTTGCTTTTCTCATTTGGCATTTTATTTTTATATTACTTCTCCAATCATTTATACATTTTAAAGTCTTAAATTATATATCTTTTGCATGCATTTTGGAATGCTTAAAGATTGTGGAAAATAGTTCAAGTCCAAGAGTCATTTTCAAAGGTGACAAACCTATATTCATATTAAATATTTCATCAAAACCCCTTTTGCACCGTTTTATTAGAGCTATACCCATGCTCACTATTTAATAGTGCAGTATTTTTTTCCCTCCTCAGCCTGCAATGTTATTTTTAGCACTGGTGTTGATAGACCTGCCACAAATATTTCTTAAATTACAAAGCTGAACCCTCATAGCCAAAAGTGAAACTGTTTTACTCCTTTGCAAGGTAAAAAGTAAAATCATTTTAAATGATAAAATATTTACTATAGAAACATGTCATTGTTTTCTGGGTATCTATAGTAGTCCCAATCATAGAACTAACGATTAATAGACAAGTTTTTCTTTTTTATTTGTGTCACCTCATTCACAAAAAAGCACTTGAAACAGCTTATAAGTATATACACAATAAATATTTTTTAAAATAGATTGGTAGATTTTTTAAATCAGTGAAAAGGTCATATTAATATAGCAATAAAGTAAAGCCAAAGGAAAAGTTAGCATATAGCAATGTCAGATTTTAGGGTTTCTTAACTGTAGTTCATCTGTTTTTGTACTGTTATAACATCAGGAAGTATCTAAAATTGGGAACATTATCAGATACTATTCCTTTCCATATATTTATCTTGGCTATCTCAGAATTAGGATAATTCTCATTACTTACCCTGCCACTAAAAACCATGAGTTCAGCAGAAGTATTTATTCCATTATATATAAAGTTGCTTTTCTTAAATTTAAAAACTTGAGAAAGTTGTATTCAGCTTTATGGGTTAATCTATGCAAAACTTTTTTTTTAACAAGGGGATCTTTTTACCTAATATTTTTACAGACATATTGTAAACAAAGGCTGTGCTTTTTCCAGGTGTTTAATTTTGATCCTGGAGCTGCTGTGAAACAGAGAACTGCAGAAGATGTTAAAGCAGATGAAGATGTCACAAAGCTATGCATACATAAAAGAAAAATCATTGCAGTGGCCACACTTCATAAAAGCATGGAAGCCCCACATCCTTCTCTGGTGCTCCCCAGTCCCGGAGGAGGAACAAGTATGTAATATGGTGAAGGTTTTAGGGATTTTTCCTCCCCCACTCCTCTCCTGGAGGAGTCACTAGAAATCACTTTGCCAAGCATTTTCTGAGTCCACTTTTCAAACATGCACAATGCATTCATTTAAAATTATGTATGTTTTATCATTTTATTGCAAATAGCAAATTAGTTCTGAAAAATTCCCATGAAGTTGTCACCCAAAGTTTCCTATCCAAATCATTTAGTTAAATGAGGAAAATAAACACTGATTAGCACATACAAATGCTATGGAGGTGCATAGAGCTGAGCTAACAAAAGAGAAAGTGCCATTGGTTTTTAGGAAACAAATGTAGCCTTTTTCCTAGGGCTGTATTGGAATGTGTAGTATCAAGTCCTTAAATGCAACTAGCAATGTTATCAAGAACTGGCAGTGTTATTCTTTCAGTCATTTAATAGCTACATATTGAACACCTACTAACAAATCACCTTGCCGGGAATTTTTTATACCTCCATCCAACACGTACATGCACACACGCTTGTATGCACACACGAATTTTTTAAAAATTTCAAAGCTGCAGAAAAATTACATGAACAGTTCGAGTACCCTAGATTTACCAGTTAACGTTTTGTTTCAGGAGTTGCAGATATTGTGACAGTTCACCCCTAAGTATTTCAACACACATGGATGTTCTCTTATATAAACCACGGTCTAATTATCACATTCAGGAAATTTAAAACTGTTATGATAGTGTTATCTAATATGCAGTCTATATTCAGATTTCTCCAGTTGTCCTAATAATATTCTTACAGTTTTTTCAATCCAATCTTTTTTAAAATCCAGGATGCAAAGATTGTGCAACTGCAAAGAGACGTTACTTTTCTTTAATCTACATCAATTCCCCAGTCTTTTTAAATCTTTCATGACGTTGATACTTCTGAAGGGTCTAGGCCAGTTTTATAGATGTTCCTCAATTTGGATTTGCCTGATTGCTTCCTCATATTTATATTCAGGTTAAACATAGTTTGATAGGAATACTGCATAGGTGATGTTATATCCTCATTAGGAAGCACATAATGGCAGTTTATCCCGTATTGATGACATTAAGTTTGATTTCTTGGTTAAAGTTGTGTCCATTATTGAGGTACATTTTCCCTTTATGATTTATATGTAATTTGTGGAATTATGCTTTGAGGCTGAGGAACTTCTTTTTGTAAGGGCTAGAATATGAACTCTCCAAAATATTACAATTAACACTTGAATAGTAATTCTGGATAAAATACAGCTGAACACCAAAGCATTTGTTTATGAAAGATAAGTAGCATTGTTCTGCAGAGTTCTGAAAAATAAGGATGAGGAATATAACTTGTAGTGATGAGAGAAAGCTTTATGGTAGAACTCAGATTTGAACCAGCCCTGGAAAATGGTAGGACTTAGACACATAAGGGAAATAAGAAAATTCTTGTCTAGAATAAGTATAGCATAATTAAGAAATGATGTGGAAACTAATGTGACTTGAGTGGAAAATTAAACCTGCATAGGTAAATTGAGGCCAAATTATTGATAGTTTTAGATACAAAGAGAAGCAGTTGTGACACCAAACAGGTCATCAAAGAGTCACACTTAGAACTCATGTGAAGAGGGTAGGGAAAGACAAACTTGGCAGTTATTAGCAGAGAGCTCCTCTCCAATAACCCTCTAACCTTTAAACTTTAACAGGAATGATCAGAAAAATTTGCTCCACTAAGGTATGTAAGAAAATAATATATTTTAGTGAATTTTTCTTTTTCTTTAATGAGCTATGTTTTTTAAATTAAAAGATATTGCAACAACTTAAAGACATTTAACAGTAATAAATTATTTAAAATTTATCATTAGCCTGCCACCTTGATGTAAGTATGTTTTCATTTTTGCATCTTACCTTGCACATGCTCATATCTGCTGCCATTCTCACTTCACATCATATCAAACCATTTCAGCTCTGTCTACAGAGTCTGCCTTGTTTCCTTTTTAATGATTGGAGCAGAATCTTGGTCTAGGTCCTTTGTCCTCCTCTATGCATACAAGTTTCATTATTGAAATTAAAGGTAAATATTTAACTAGTATAGGTATAAGAGGTATATCTCCATCTCCTTTTAAAATGATATAATTTATTGGATTCAGACATAGCATTTATTTCAATTTTCTAATTTTAAATTATATTAAAAGGTTGTGATTTAAATAAAGATTAAGAAGACTCATGTAGTAGTTTTCACCTCTCTTTATTTTACATGCATAAACATACAACACCTCTTTCGAAAGGTCTATTTAATATACACAAAAGCACTTGATGAGTACCTAGCATTTACATTTGCCAACTCTTGTAATACTTTAGTTCCTAACTGCAACATAAGAGCAGCATGACTTCTGTTTGTTTATCTGTTTAGTATCCCTTTTATTTTAAAGATGGTGACTATTTTTCCCCAGTATGGAAGAAATCCTTTCTAAACGACAGCTACTTTCTAAGTTCTGTTGAATGTAAAAATGCCAATGTCTATATTTTTTAATCATTGAATTGTAGACAGCTATATAAATGAACAAGAAAAGACACAACTTGGTGGCTTTATTACCAAAGAGGACACAGTCCCGTAATAATGTTAGTGATGTTAATACAGATGACTATGTTCTCACTATATGCCAAGCTCAGTGCCCCAAATATTTTTCATATGTTATTTCCTTGATTACAAACTGTAAAAATCTTTCTTTAACAAGAAAATGAATTCAGTTGAGTTTATCTGCTGCGATTTTCTTTTATGATCGGTTCTCAACCTTTCATATACTGTATTATGTACAGAAATCACTCTATCAAAGAATCTCTACCATGCCAGAAACAGAAAGCCCACATTTCCCAAGAAAAATATACGTTCACTACATTCTCTTACTTCTTGATTGTACACTACCAAGACTTCTGTTTATCCCAGGTTGAGAACCACTGACTTAGAAATTGTTATCTTATGATTTGACCTGTATACTGCTCAGCAGGTAGGAGAAGTTTATTTATCTTAAATGTGTAATTATCCGTTTAAGTAAATATACCTCTGATTGCAAATGAATCCGAGTATACTTGCTGATATGCTGTAAGTCTAAGAATTGGGATGGCCAATGTATAGTATGAATAGTACCACTCTTATCTCCTGTGCCTCTAATAGACTCATTGGCATTTTCTCATGGAGTCCAGCTAGAGCTCAGCACCCTTTTCAGCATAGCTCTCTAAGCAGCCACCACCAGTTGATGGGAATTGGTATATGAAACTAATTTTATTTGCCATCCCTGTTTTAGAAGTCACAACCTTATAAAATAGTTAAACTTCCTTTGGGGCTAAAAAAACTTAAACCTAGAATTCTGACATCAAATGAAAATTCTATATGATGAACCAGGTTGCTTTTGTTGCCTGTATTCTGTCTGATCTCTGAAAGAACTGAAGGGATTCCAAAAAGCCAGCGAGGGAGCAATGCACTCTGTAAAAAGAGAATACTCAATTGGAGCCCAGTACTGAAGATTTTTGCACTCTGACTAAATTTTGCGTAAGAATTCTATCCTGATAAAAGAATTGCAGTCTTTTACCTAATTTGGTTGACTGAGGCTGGTTTTACAACAATGACTAATTAATGGCAAAGAAATTGAAGTGTTAAAGTATTGCAAACTTGATATGAAGTATAGCATGATTGTTTAACTTCACTGTATTTACTGTTGTTATCACTCCCTTTGTAAAAGATTCAGAATCTTATTTACTTAATTCACAAAAATTAAGACTCTATTACTCTCACAGTGAAAATATTGGGTTGAGGAAGAGTTTTTGTAGCTGTCCCGAGGAGGTTTCAGTAAGGTTATACAAACCTTTATAAGGCAACAAATTTTCTGGTGAAAGTGGCAATTCATTTAAATCACTCAAGAAAATATTATGCCACACAGATTACAAATTTCTATTGTAACTGTGTTCTTAATTCAAATCCAAAAAATAAAATCGTCATCATTTCCATCTGGGCTGTCATTCTTGATTTTGCATATTATAAATATTATTAGAATGGCTAATGTCAGTATGTACGGATTCAGATCCCCATCCTTTCTCAACAGACATGAGGGAAACAAGCATAATGAGCAGTTATTGAGAACCTTTGTTCAACTAAGAGAGAACAGTGTGCATCTTTTACAATCAAAATTTATTGTAGAGTACAGAACTTTTTTTTTAATTTCAAAGAGTCACAGCTTCTGTTTGCAGATTTCTTTTTTCAGATGCCCTCCCTTCCCCATTTCCTTCCCTCCCTCCATCCTAACACAAAAGAATTGAGACTACTAACAGATTTTTTTTTTTTCTCTTTCACATCAGATGCAACTCCAGTAGTACCTTCACGGGCAGCAACTCCAAGATCTGTAAGAAATAAGTCTCACGAAGGAATTACAAATTCTGTAATGCCTGAATGTAAGAATCCTTTCAAATTAATGATTGGATCATCAAATGCCATGGGAAGGCTGTATGTACAAGAACTGCCTGGAAGCCAGCAACAAGAACTCCACCCTGTCTACCCCCGGCAGAGATTGGGCAGCAGTGAACACGGACAGAAATCTCCATTCCGTGGCAGCCATGGAGGCCTGCCCAGCCCAGCGTCGTCAGGTTCCCAGATATATGGAGATGGCTCAATCTCTCCAAGGACTGACCCACTTGGAAGCCCTGATGTTTTCACAAGAAATAATCCTGGTTTTCATGGAGCTCCCAATTCTAGTCCTATTCACCTGAATAGGACTCCTCTTTCTCCCCCTTCAGTAATGCTACACGGTTCTCCTGGACAGTCATCCTGTGCAATGGCTGGAAGGACTAATATACCTCTTTCCCCAACCTTGACTACAAAGAGTCCAGTAATGAAAAAACCAATGTGTAATTTTTCAACTAATATGGAAATACCACGAGCAATGTTCCATCACAAACTACCCCAAGGCCCACCTCCCCCTCCTCCACCTTCTTGTGCTCTTCAGAAAAAGCCATTAACATCTGAGAAAGATCCACTTGGCATTCTTGACCCTATTCCTAGTAAACCAGTGAATCAGAACCCTGTTATCATTAATCCAACTAGTTTCCATTCAAATGTCCACTCTCAGGTACCTGTGATGAATGTAAGCATGCCTCCTGCTGTTGTTCCTTTGCCAAGTAATCTCCCTTTGCCAACCGTAAAACCTGGCCACATGAATCATGGGAGTCATGTACAAAGAGTTCAGCATTCAGCTTCAACCTCCCTGTCCCCTTCTCCAGTGACATCCCCAGTGCACATGATGGGGACTGGAATTGGAAGGATTGAGGCATCGCCCCAAAGATCACGCTCATCTTCCACATCATCAGATCACGGAAATTTCATGATGCCACCTCTAGGACCCCAGGCCACTTGTAGTGGTATTAAGGTTCCACCCAGGTCACCAAGGTCAACAATAGGGTCCCCAAGGCCATCAATGCCATCAAGCCCTTCTACCAAGTCCGATGGACATCATCAGTACAAGGATATCCCTAACCCATTAATTGCTGGAATGAGTAATGTACTAAATACCCCAAGCAGTGCAGCTTTTCCTACTGCATCTGCCGGAAGCGGTTCTGTAAAGAGTCAGCCTGGTTTGCTGGGAATGCCTTTAAATCAGATCTTGAACCAGCACAATGCTGCCTCCTTTCCAGCAAGTAGTTTACTCTCAGCAGCAGCCAAAGCACAGCTAGCAAATCAAAACAAACTTGCTGGTAACAACAGTAGCAGCAGTAGCAATTCTGGAGCTGTTGCTGGCAGTGGCAACACTGAAGGACATAGCACTTTAAACACCATGTTCCCTCCTGCTGCCAACATGCTTCTCCCAACAGGTGAAGGGCAAAGTGGTCGAGCAGCACTAAGAGATAAGCTGATGTCTCAGCAAAAGGACTCACTGCGGAAAAGAAAACAGCCACCTACCACAGTGCTGAGTTTGCTCAGACAGTCTCAAATGGATAGTTCTGCAGTTCCTAAACCTGGACCCGACTTGCTAAGGAAGCAGGGTCAGGGGTCGTTTCCCATCAGTTCAATGTCTCAGTTACTACAGTCTATGAGTTGTCAAAGCTCTCACTTGAGTAGCAATAGTAGCCCGGGTTGTGGGCGCTCAAATACTGCTTTGCCTTGCTCTGCTAACCAGCTGCATTTTACAGACCCCAGTGTGAACTCCAGTGGTCTTCAGAATCCACTGACACAGGACGTACCTTTAAGAGGGGAAGCCGTGCACTGCCACAATGCAAACACTAACTTTGTTCACAGTAACAGTCCAGTCCCAAACCACCATCTCGCAGGTTTAATAAATCAGATTCAGGCTAGCGGGAACTGTGGGATGCTCAGTCAGTCGGGCATGGCCTTAGGAAATTCATTACATCCCAATCCACCTCAGTCAAGAATTTCAACGTCCTCCACTCCAGTGATACCAAACAGCATTGTTAGCAGCTATAATCAAACAAGTTCTGAAGCAGGTATGGTTTTATTAGAAAAAAGTACCCAAAGGTACTAAACTTTTATACGTTTTTTTAAAATTTATACCAAAATATTTATTATGATAAGAAATGATCCTTTCCCCATTGTGAAATTCTCATCATTTCTTTAGTATTTATAATTTTATTTACAGAATGCTAGGGATTTGTCTCAGAAAAAATAACAGCCAAGAGGATTCCATGTGTTTCCGTTATGTGTCAACCTGTGTCATTTTGAATTTTGTTCGACTTTCAGTTGGTTCTATAACCATTGGACTCGAAACTACAAAAGAAGCCATAGAAGGCAGGATTTCCTGGTTCATGAGACATGTACTTGGTCTATGCCAATATAAAAGCTGTTTCCCCTAGCTCTTGTTTGTATTCAGGTAAATGAAGCTCATTTGGAAAACCCCCAAAAAAAGGCAGAAATACATGGATTTTTTGTTCTTGCTGCTGACCAGAAATAGGTGAATGGATAGGAAGAGGTAACTAGAAGTTGTATGAAGTAGAAAGCTGTCTTCTAATGTGTTTTCTTATCCTAGTTTGCTATCCTTTATTATTATTTGTTTGAAAAAATTCATAAATGGATATTGGCTACTCCCTTTTTTAAAAAGGTAATAATTGAAGTTTTCCAATAAAAAAGGCTTGAAAACCTGATTTCCAGAATTTTTGATCTTGAAATTATTTTACAGTTTTCTTGGAGAACTAAACCATTGTTTTTACCATTGACATTATGGTATCTCTTTATCCGCTATTAATGAAGGAGAAATTTATTTAAAAGTAGACACATTAGAAAGAACTATATTTTATTTCAGTAGAGTCCTCAGAAATTGTTACAAAAAAACGTAAAGAAGCACTATAGAGATAAATTCATTGAGACATCAGAAAATTTGACCATAAGAATAATAGAAAGAATACCCAAAACCCAACAATAACGATTTGAGAGATTGGTGGGAAATGACAGGGAGGAAATAAAAGATGAATATAGAGACAATATTATTCAGCTATGAAAACAGTGGGCTTTTAAAACCAGATTGCTACTGGAAGCGGGAAAACTGCTGAGGCTTTTAATAATCTATTGTGTAGATATATATAGACTGTGTTATACCACCATGCTGGAAAGGCATTATGACCTACATGTCTTTGTTGCTGATAGTAAAATCAAGTGTTTTCCTTCCTGGTGTCACTACTTTTACCTGCCATTCTCCACAACTTGTGTTATGTGTTATGTTTTGATGTCAGTATTTAATGAAGAACTGTTCATTGACCTCTTCTGTTAAAAAGAATATAAGGTGAAGATGATAATTGAAATGATTAGTGCCTTCTTGATATTCTTAGTCTAAGGAATCTCATGAAACTATTTTTTACGTGTTTAACAGGATTCTTATTCCGAAGGGGCTTCCAGCTTTTCAATGACTCAGTTTATTCCTTTTTAGATAATCCCAAGCAAATGAAAATTTAATCTTATGCATTTATCAGATTAAGATTACATAAAATCAGTAACTATTTAAAAATACACTATGTTTATTAAGCATACCTTCAATCATTCAGATGAGGCATTGTTAGCCTCATTGTATTATATCTTTCAATTTTGATACCCCTTACCTCAACTTACTTTGTTTCAGGTCTAAGTTCATATTGCAAAGTGTACGTATTTTATTAATGATGTATTTTAATTTATCTATAATGGAAAAGACCAACATTTATTTATATTCTTGTTTCTTCTGATTGTCAAGTTTTGACTTATTTTATATAGTCTTAGACATGTATTTTCTTGTTCCATGCATCTCTGTAAAACATCAGATCTGGATTGCCAGTGCTGGGAGTGTCAAAACACACATGTTGAAAATTTACTAATATAAGTAAAGTGTTAGCATATAAATAGCTAAAAGGGATGAGAATAAATGTCTAGTAATGATATGGATGTGACCAATCATGTGTAAGTTAACAGAAAGCATATCCCTGATAAAAATCTAGGTCAATAAGAACTTTTTAAAGTAGTAACCTAATAAAATTAAATACTGCTTAATGTACATAGCTCTGATGTGCAGCTGGTAATAAAAATGGGTAGATTTACTAATTAATATAATTCTTTTGATGAGCTGAATGTTAAAGAGGTCTCTAATATCACGTTCCTTTTAGATACACAGTGAACTGTGTCAACTGAATGCACTGTTATTATAACTGCTTAGCCTGAATGTTTATTTTCACTGACATTTATTCATCCATCAAATAAACACCAAAGCGGGGCTTTCAGAGTGAGACAGCTGATGACGGTTACAACTATCCCTTTAAGTTTTGCTGAGTATTCCTAGCATACTAGTCAGACATTAGAAGAAAACCACATTTTATTCTTAAAATGTTGCTTTTAGCTGTCATTGAGTACCTATGATGTGCCAGGTGATTTGCCTGTATTATTTCTAATTTGTGCAGTTTTCCAAAGTATAAGGTACTCTTGTCCCCATTTTACAGATGAGTACATTGGGCCTCAGAGAACTTGAATAGCTGTCCAAGGTCATACATAATTGAATTAGGATTTGAACTCAGCTTCCTCTATTCTAAAATCCATTTTCTTCCCAGCTGCATAAGTTTTCATTTGAAACATCTAGTTGTGAAAAATACTGTTTTCACTTTCAAATCTTTAAAAATACCCAACAGGTAGTGAATCAAAGCATATCAATGCATGTTAGGAACTATGTTTGTAAACTTTTGATGCACTTTTAGACAAAAGTCAGTAAGTTTGCCTTCTCTATTTGGACTCTAATATCCTAGTGTACAATAATTAGGATGTTTGTGCCAGTGCAGATGAAATGTCCACAGTATCAAAAGAACTACCCCTCATTTGTGAATCACATTTGGTAACCTGTATTTGAATGAATTTGTATCACCTAACTCAGATAAAAATGGGTTTCCTCGTGGGTGATGTGTCAATAGGCCTTTGAAGAAGGCAACTCTGCAGACGCTAGCCCTGCCGTTCCAGGTGTGATAGCACAGTGAGGGTGAAAGAGACCCACAGGTAACATGGCCCAACTCTTCCCTGTGGTAATGGAGCATGAACAGGACTCAAGTGACCTCCTGCTCAATGCAGTGCCTTTTTTCCCCACTCTTCTAAGCAGCAGCTCAAAAATGTTACATTAAGACCTTATTTAAGACCAGAAATCACTCTGAAAACGTTTAATTCGATTGGCTATTTGTTTTCAAAAACTTCTCTTAAAGAAAGTTTTTCTATCATAAACAGCCCAAATATTCATTTTTTAGGCCTATATGTGAATACCAGTCCATATTTTAAATGTATTAAAACTCATATATGAGAATCAGAGGCAAAGTAGTAAAAAAAAAAAAATTAGATTAAAGGTACGAAATGCTTAGAAAACATTAGAAAACATTTCTAAAACTTAAGAATATACAAGGTTTTATTAATTCTATTTGGTGTTTTGAAATTGCCTTTCCACTAAAGCTCTCTAAACACTTTGCATTGTAAAGTTTACAGGTTTCTATTAGCTTTTTGGATATGAAATTACAAGTGAAGTTTAATATTTCCATGTAACAGATTTAGAAAATGACCAGTAGGATACTTGGTGACATTCCTCAAGTTGTAAAGCAAAGCTCTGGTGGATCTGGCAACCAAACCCCAATCAGTTCCTGATTCTCAGTCCAAACACTCAAACTGCTGAATGCAGGTATGTTCTGAAATCCATCACTCGTGTACATTTAAAGCAACTTTCAGTTTATGAAGTGAGATAAGTTTCAACACTTAAGTGGTTCCAGCACGTGTCCTGTGGTGTTTTGGTTTAGGGAGGAATTCAAAATCAAGTACCCCTGACTGACAAATTTCATCAAGTCCATGCCTCTTTGGGCCTCTGACTGCTGCCCATCTGTTTACCATAGAACAAAAACACACATGCCAGTAACCTGGGCCTCTGCAGAGGACCCAGCCCTGTCAGTGTCCACATGACAACCCATCCTTCCATGGCCCTGTGGGTTTTCACAATTTTCCAAGAAGCAAAAATATTTAGATTATTCTGCTAACCAACTTAATAACTGAACCTTACCTCCCTCCAATATGATAAAGTCATTAAATATAACTTTTTCACTTTAAAATGCCTTTTATATTCTCATTTTTTTTTCTAATAAAAAACATTTAATCAACTCTTCTAAAACACATGAAAATGTAGTCCTGTGAAAGGGCAGAGTATGAGTTTGTACCAAAAGAGAAAATAATTCAATCATTTATTTGCCTTAACTCTTAAAGATATACATTGACTAACAAGAATATAAATAAACCTATGAATAAATATTTGCTCATGAATATTTATATATATATATATATTTTTTTTTTTTAACTCTGGAAAAGAAAGTGTTTTTTTTTTTCAGCACAAAATACATTTGATTGAAACTCAGTGCAGCCACTAATATGGTAGGTATAAGAAAATTAGAGATCACAAAAGAATGCTTTGGATAAAATATTGCAAAGTGCAAGCTTGGTTTTTTGTTCTATGTATGTATTTATTCTCAGAGCATGCCAGTAAAGAAAATAAAGGGAAATTGTCCTTCCCTTCATTTGAGGTTATAGTTGCAAAAAGATTATGGGATAAAAATACTCCAGGATGGATTGTTCTATGTTAGCTGTCTCAGGATATGGGACGTTTGTGTGGAAATAATCCTCTAGTCTTTTATAGACTTATGTAGAATGAAAAAAGGCAGAGACTCCTTTAAGGTTGTGACTGAATTAATAATAATTGCTATTGAAAGTATTTCCATCCAAGTTTTTAAATGCCTAGATTTTACACCTCACCTGATTGATGCATAGGCTTCTAGGTTGAAACTTGCCCTCTGCTCTTGTTTTTTAACCAAATACCAAAACTATATTAAAATCTTGATTATGTGATAAAAATCTATGTCTATTCTTTTAGTTAAATTTTTGCAAAATGAGCCATTTCTTCTTTGCTGTAAGTTATTTTTACAACAGGCAGTGTCTTGCTGTTTAAGAAGGTTTCCTAATA